AAACAAACAGTTTCTGAGTGGAAAAATTTTAAATTTTGAGTTTTGACGGCACCAAAACGTAAAATTCTTGATCTTTGCCGCCAAAAGATTTCCTCTCGATTCCAAAAGGTCCCAAAGGCCCTTTTGGGCTGGCCATTACATGCTGGGCCGAAGCTTGTTTGTGTCTTATTGTTCTGTTGAAAATGTTTTTGAAGTTCAAGTTTCTTAAGCGATACCGAAAAAAAGAAAAAGGAAGCGAAAAATGTCATAAACTACTTTTTTCTTATTTGTTTTTGCAATTATATGTGCATTGGAAAATATTCTTCTATAAAATAACTCATCAGCAATAATGCAGTGTTTTATTAAATCAAATACTTTAGTATTTAAAAGTCACATTAGAATATTAGAGTACTAATTAATATCAAAGATAGATAAATAATTTATAAATATTAATAAAATTAGTTAATTTGATTATTCTATAACAAGTTTATGTTGTCTTTTCTAAACTACCATATCTAATAATGTATATTGTAATTATCTCTTGGTTGAAAACCTCTTAATATGTACAATAAATTTAGATACTTTGGGGAAAAATTATATATGGGAGAAAAAGTAAATTGGAGTATTATATTTAAGATCAAGTTTAACATTTCAACTGATTTTTATATTAATAATACTCCTCCGGTCCTTAATATAAGACCCATTTAACTAATTTGATTAGATTAAGAAAGTTAGGTAAGTTAGTTAATTATAAGAAATGTGACACATTTTTCCTAAAATATTATAATAATCTTTCTTAATACCCTCTCTTCCTCTTCTATTTAATTATGATTGAGAGAGTATCCATATGGGTAATTTAAAGAAAATTGATAAATATGAGAAATGAGTGTTATATTTAGGATCAAAATTAACTCAACAATTGAGTTTTATATTAAGGACCTGAAGAGTAACTAGTAGTAATATTAGAAGATGACTCATGTAAATTGTTTTTCATGGTGATTTAAAAGTCCTCACCTAATATTTGAGTGAAATTAAGAAATTCACTATTCATTTCACGTTTTTTTTTATTTTTACAAAAATTCTTTAAAAAAATCTTATTAGTTATAATTCAAATATTTTGAAAAAAAGAGAGTAATAACTCAAATACTTGTGACAAAAATCACAAAACCAAATACATGGTTAAATGTTAATGGCTAGTTGTCTCAATAATAACACCATCCACCACTCTTAGACAAGATTCTGAGCTTGAACTCAATATTAACATATTAATATGTCTGTGTATTTAATTGTATTATATAAAGAAAAACACATAGTGATTAGTGAGGGAGCAAGAGTTATCCATTTGCCCAAGCAAAACACAACGGTCATTAATCAAGTAGTTGTGGCGAATGAATTGAGAGGTACAATTTTGTTTGCAAAACCTAAAGAGCAAGAAATTGATGAGAATGTGAGAAGCAAAACCTCTTTCACTTTCACCACAAGATTCAAGGAAGCCCACAAATTCACTCATCCCATGTATTGGATTGGTTGCTCGTGAGTCCCAGAATTTCAAAGAAATGGACCCCACTTTTCCACTATGATTGAGATTCTCTATCTGAGTCTAATGGTCTATGATTTTTAGACATCACAAAGCTACCCCTTTTACCTTATCTCCTTCTTGTACAACCAATATTTTATACAAACAATATTTTTTTCTCCCAGCCCCAGAAGAAATAGATGCACCAACGGCTCTATGTCCCCATCCCACCTTTCCTTTCAATGATTTTAATTTTTTTAATTATTATACACTACATTTAGTTTTTAATATAAAAACTAATTGATTAATTTGAATATATTAAAAACATTAGTTAAATTAATTATTTATAATAAATAGGTATTGTTTTTACTAAGATACTCTTATTAATCATATGTATTAGTTAAAACTACTATTTAATAAAATTTTTTTATATAACTGCTATAAGGACTATTTAAAAAAATTGATAAATATGAGAAATAAGGTAAATTGAGATCTTAAATTTAATACTAAATTAAATATCAAACTATCTTTCATATTAAAAAAGGAATGTAGTATATTAGTAGTTATATTCAAAGTATAATTATCCAAGCAAATAATAAAAAGTGTTAAAAATGAGCCAATATTCCTAATAATTTTTATAGTATCTAAATCACTGTTCAGATAAAATTCAATTTTTGACTTGGAATCACATATCATGAAGCCAGGCCACAATCCCCATTAACTCATGAACGCAACAAAGAAAAGAAATAAAAAAATATTTCATATGTTGCATTTCCATAAAATGAAAATTCTCTATTTTTTGTTATAAACTAAAATTAAAATTAAAAAACCACATTAATTTATAATTTATGCTTTGTAGACCTGGTCTAATAGTCCAACATATATTTATCTCCATTTACCTTAACTGTACTCCATAAAACGTCAAAAAACTAAAAAAAAAAGAAAAAGGAACCTCAGCCTTTATATGATTAATTCCTCACCCACTTTTGCTTCCACTAAACCCACTCAGATCTTCTTCTCAATTCTCAAGAACACACAAACACGCAGAAAAAGCAAGAGAGAGATTAAGAAGAAACATGGAAGCTCTTCTCTCCCAATTCACCTTCCTCTCAGACCAAGCTTTAGAAGACAAGAACTTTGATCCATCCACCATAGAAGACCTAATGAAGCTCTTTGAGATTGAGTCGTACAAGGCCTGGGCAGCCATGGAGCTTGAGCAAGAGAAAGAGGAAGAAGAAGCAGAGGATGCTCTGCAGAAAGCTGAGGACTATCTCGACTCAGTGATGGAATCTGCCATGGATGAGTTCAGAAGCTTTGAACTTGAGCTTGAGAGGATGGAAAAATCTGAACTTGATAGCCTTGTTCAGACTGCTGAGAGTGGTAGAAAAATGGGTAGGTTAATGGAAAAGCTGCTTCTGTTGCTTCCAAAAGGTATATTGAAGCTGCTCTGAGTTCTGCTACTTCTTCCATGAAATCGGCTTGGAAAGGACTTTCTTCTGGCAAGGTTCATCCTTCTTAGCCTGAAAATGTGCTGATCAAATGTGTAACCACAATAAATTATTGATTTATTTTCAGATTTTATATGCATAATCTAGAAATGTACCCAAGTTGAAGAAGAACAAATGAAAATTTGAAGAACTAGTGTTCACGAAGCAGGAAAATTCATTTGTTTTGGGCAGATCTGATATAAAGTCCTGGTATTGAACTGATTAAAGATCATTCTGATTTGATTCTGGGTAGATCTGATATATACCAAGGCTTTTAGGATTTCAGGAAGCTTACTTTTGAACATTCCCTACTGATCTGATTGAACTATTGAACTGATGAAAAAGCATGTTTAATTTACTCTTTCTTCTTTTGATTTTCCAAATGGGTGCCTTCCTTGTTCTCTGTTTTTTGTTTCAGATGAACATAATGCCTTCTTTCTTGACTAAAATTAAAAGTAAAGTGGAATTTCGATCTGAAAGATTATTGTTTAATTTTCAAATTATTTGATTGTAGTTACTTGATTGTAATTATGCGGCCTGTTTGGTAGCATAAAAGCTGGGCAAGGTAAAGGCATATTACAAGGGAACTAATAAACTTCTTTTGGGTACTACATGGAAGCCTCTTTCCATGGATCAATCCATTGATTAAAAGCCTATTTGGTAGGATAAAAGCAAACATTGTTTTTGGAAAAGCCAAGAATTCGATTAGGCGTAGGAAAAGTCTTTCCATCGATCAATCCCCCTGGGGTTACGATATATCTCTCCTAGTGTGCAGGGCAATGTGGTCTCATGTTACCTTTGTTTACTTTTAAGATCACATTTCAATGTTGAAATATAATAAATACTACATTTAGTTTTTAATATAAGACATTATTTGATTTTTATTTTGATTTTAAATATAATACCCCAATCTACTTTATTTCTTATATTTATATATATTTTTTAAGATAGTCATTCTAATAATAGTAGTTTTAATCAATACACTTGATTAGTAAGGATATTTTAGAAAATATAACATCTATTTATTACAAATAACTAACTTAATTTATTTCTTTAATCTCCTTAAATTAGTCAACTAGTTTTTATAATTAGGACCGGAAGTAGTGTATAGGGATAATACCATCTAAATTTTACTTGATTTTGGTAAATTTCGGTAGTTTTTGATATCAAATTTTAAACTAGAATCAAAATGATGTCAAATTAGTACCATCTAGATTTAGGTAGTGTTTGGATAAAAACCAAACCATGGTTTCAGAAGTGTTTTTACGGATTACGAAGTAAATATGTGGAGGAGGTTACCTCGTTTTGCGGAAAAGTGCTTCTGAAACCACGGTTTTGGAGCACCCAAACAGAGCCTTAACTTGATTTTGGTGAATTTGAAATCAGTATTTTTTGCTTTGTCTATGAACATTAGTTACTAAATATAATTTCAAATTTTAAGGGGAAAAATACTAGTTTCAAATTTTAGAACTATAATCAAAATGATGTCAAATTTTAAGAATTAAAAATTATACTATGCCTATATTTATGTACTCCTTCCATCTCTTATTAGAAGATTCAATTTCTTGAATTGGTTTGTTTTTTTTATAAGATCTCTTTTAGGAATGCATTTTTACTCGCTTTACTCTTAATTAATATATTTTCTTTCATTAACTTTTTCCCATACATTCTCTCCTATTTTTTTTCTCACTTGCTTTTTCTCACTCACACTTGCTCATTTATAAATAAGGGTATATTTGAAAAAAAAAAGTACATTTCCAACATATTTATTATTTTAATTAATTTTAACAGTTTTTTTAAATCACATAATATAATTAAGTGAATCTTATAACAAGGGACGGGAAAAGAGAGTATATATGTATATAAACATGGAGTTTGTGGGATTCTGCACTAGAATGCTTTATAGTAATAATAAGTTATTCTCTGCACCCATGTTCATAAGAAATTCACATAATTTTCCATTAATTGTTAAGGAACTAGAGCAAAATTTATTTTTTATATTGGCTCGAGACTAGATATGAAACAGACAGAATCAAGAGTTTTCCTCCTTATAAAAAATTCAAAGATGGAGGTCACATTATTGATATAAACACTGTCGTTTGCAATAAATATTGCATATCAACCTCTCAAAATCTGAGCAAACTCATCGACTATACAAAACACTCAAAATTATATAACTACATAATTAACAATAAATTTGTAAACTCAATCTGTTCAACTGTAACCTTTGCCTTGCTGCATTAGATTCAAACACTATTTGTCTTGTGTTTCTTATTCTCTGAATACTCAATCTCTGTTTTATTTGAAGAAGAAAGGTCAAGAGGCTTGATGCTCTCCAACTCAGGATCAGGTGAGAAGTTAGATGGTAGTTTACTATCATCCATCCTTCTAAATGTGATTGAAATCCTGCAAAAAGGAAAAGTCTCAAAATACAATAAATAGTAATAATTGAGATTTTCTAAAGTACACCCGACAGAAGATAGGTAAACCAGGTAAAAAAAAAGTTTACATGTTTACATATCAGTACATGATTGGGCTTGCTCCGCCCAACTTTTACAAGCCAATTTATCTGAGAATTTTTCACAAATATGTATTTTTTTTGGGAAAAATTCACATTACCTTTTGGTTGGGACAGATGGGATACAATGTTTAGCAACGTCAGCTCCATTACCATTGAAAATAAACACTGATCTGCATTATGAAGATAAGCATTAAAATCTCTAAATGTTAAACAAGAATTGGCCAAAAAGCATGATTCACACAAATCTACTTATAACATGACACAAGAATATGAATGTTCTAACTTGTTCTAGTTAACAAGTTTAAAATCCAAGAATGCCAAATATGATTCCAAGATTTTTTGACAAGGGAAGAGCATTGGAAGAGAATGGAGGAAGAGAAAATCTTAGGTTGACAACCACTCATGGATAGTTTTGTAAGAATGTCAAAAATAGGTCCCACTAAATTGAAATGCTCATAAATCCATCTACCTATATTTTTCTCAGGTTTTGTCAAGAAGGAAATCGAGCTTACCCAACGGGCAAAGCGATACGAACAGGCCCTTGGAACTCCCCAGGACTAACAACTTTTAGATTTGAACCAAATAATATGTCACACTCAGATAAGAATGAAACTGTTGAAAAAGGTCGCACAAAATCATGATGATCAATATGAGGAGGAATGCAATCGCCTTCATCATATATGTTGACAACGCAACTATTAGGGATGCATGTTGGAGGCAGTATGTGCCACCTAACCATCCTCTTGATCATTTTCTTGAACAAATTTGGTAATGGATCAGCCTCTTTTTGTCTTAGAATGCCAGGAGGATTGCCATGTCTGTCCTGCAGGATTTAACATGAAGCTAATAAGTTAAACTTGAAAAAACAACTCATAACCAAAGATTAAAGAATAAAGGGGAAGGAAATTTAAACTTACTATTGCATAATTGTAACAACAACCAAATTGTATTGTTACACGCCCTTTGCCACGCATCCACTTTCTAGGTTCTGAATATGTACATTCTAAAAATAGAAAAACCCAAATAATAAAAGTGTGAGAACAAAATCTCCTGAAGCTTAAAAGACACCCAAAGAAATACAATAAAATAGAAGAGCCTTCTATTTACTAGCTTAGGAAGTGCACAACTTGCGAAAAGGGGAAAAATTCAGTTAGTTTAAGTGTTTTATGATAATTTTCATTAAAGATGGTGACTCAGTTTTTCTAGATTAACTCAAAATACCAAGCGTTATCTGTCTCTTCATTCTTGGTATATTTGTGAGAAACAAAACCCAATGCTGTTGATTTTATTGAACAGGATATAACCCCTCCCTAATTGTTTTTATAGGCTGTGTTTATAATCTGTGTCAATTCTAAGCAGAAGACACATAGCTTACTGCATGTAACGAAGTATAACTACTCCATAGACAAGGCTATACAAGTTCTGTCAAAGTAAGTTCTAAAGATGTGCCAAAAGTAGCCATAAGCATAATGGGGAAAAACAACAAAGATTAGAGCTGCAGAAAAAATGCAGAGAAAGTACATTTCCGAGCATATGAAATAGTTAAACGCAGAATCACTGAATTAAAGAACTGGAAAAGAATAGGAAGGCAGAAGTTCAATCCATATACCTTTAAATTGCCCTTTTTGACCCATCTCTTGCAATTTATCGACATACTTGATAATATTCCTTTGCTCCTCAGGATTGAATACTTGATTATGAAGTTCAAGTCCATGGAGAACATTTATGTCCCTCCGACCAATTCTTTCAATGTAAACAAAGTTCTTTTTTCTGCCAACCAGTGAAAACCTGATATGCTCCTTTTGCTCCTCAGACAATCCGCATTCAAACAATGAGGCTCCACCGATTCCATCACTTAGTAGCAACTCAAAATCAGATGGCACTATAGATTGCCGTTTGCGATTCAAATATTTAGGTGTGGAATCAAAAGCAAGTCTATTATCATGCTTCCTCAACCAGGGAGTTTCATGCCTTTGGATATAGCTTCTTGTACTATCCTCTTCTTCTCTATGATTTCGATGGTGAACCACCAAAGCATCACCATTTCTGGAGTGGAAGTATGCATCTCTAGAATAGGCATAGTCATCATTATCAGCATAAGATGTTTCATAGTGCTTCCCTGCATTCAAAAGAAGCACTAAATAAATATATAAGCATGGAATAAAAAAAAAATTTTCATTATTCATTTCAGTAACTGTCAATTTGTTTTTTTGATCGATTTTAAACTCTATTTTTTTCATAAAAATTATAAATGCACAGAGTTGAAGCTAGTTTATCAATAGAAAGATAACAGTAGTGCATTACCATTCCTGGACTTGTGGGATGCATCTGTAGAGGAAACGTAATAACCATCTTCATCCTCAGCTAAAGGGGTTTCATAATACTTTCCTGCATTTAAAAGAAAAGCTATATATATATATTATATAAACATAGAATGAAAAATACTTCACTATTCACTTCTGTGTAACTGTCAATTTTTTTATCAACTGATTTCCTTATTTTAAACCTAGTATTATTTTTCCTAAAAATTCCAAATCCCCATGCAAATGCACAGGGTTGAAGCTAGTCTATCAGTAGAAAGGCAACAGTAATACATTACCATTCCTAGACTTGTAGGATGCATCTGTAGAGGAAACATAATAATCATCATCATCCTCAGCATAAGGGGTTTCATAGTACCTTCCTGCATTTAGAAGAAAAGATAAATAAATATAATTTATACAAACATATAATGAAAAATACTTCACTATTCACTTCTGTGTACCCCCCCCCCCCAAAAAAAATCAATTGATTTGTTAACTTTAATCTTTGTATTATTTTTCACAAAAATTCTAAATCCCCATGTAAATGCACATGGTTGAAGCTAGTTAATCAATCATCAATCAATAAAAAAGATAACAAATAATGCATTACCATTCCTGGACTTGTAGGATGTATGTCTAGAAGATCCATAGTAGTCATCATCATCAGCAGCATGTGAGGTTTCATAGTGGTTTCCTGGGGTTCAAGCGAAATACTAAATTTATGAACAACATCAAAGATAACAGATAAGGCTTTTGCCTGAGATTATTTTAAATAAAATTTAGAATCAAGTGCTTTTATAATATCAATGCACAAAATACATAACAAGTAGGAAAAAAAACACAGAAGTACCCAACGAGATTGGCAAAAAAGTGAAAAACACAAAGCCGGAAACTTAACTTCTTGAACCAGAACGGAGGAGTTGAAGAATAACAGAGAGAGCGAAGCAATAATAAAGAAAACAAAACTTCATGAGCAGAACACAACGAAACCCATGAGAACCATTCATTTTAAAAGAAATAGAGGAAAAGACAAGTTTGATTACTTTTACAGAGATTTGAAATTTTTTGATGAAGTCGAGCCTCACAATGGTTGCAGAAGGTATCAGAGAGCATCTGCAGGATTTGCTCCTTATTCAGTGACTCTAGGAATTCCATGCCAAGATAAGTATCTACTTGAAAGCAAAGCAAGAGAGAAGGAGAGAGCGTGCGAGATCAAAATAGAAATTGCAGGCAGAGAGCAACGCAGAGTGAGAGAGAGAGAGAGAGAGAGTGAGGAGACGACTTTGGAGTTGACTGACTTCTGACGCGAGGACCAAGACAAGTATATGATGTCTTAGTTAGTTTCCTAATTTCGTGGTAGTTTCTTGGTCCTCAATTAGGCGAGTTAATTAATTAATTTATTTTAACTTGAATAAAAAAAATCAATTTTTTATGGGTCATTTGTTATTTTTCAACATTTTATACTTCGGGAAAAAAAAAGAAAATTTCACTGTTGTTTATTTGTTGTCTTTATATAATAAGGGCGAGTGATACAAATTTTCATCATAATGCTGCAAAGATATTTCGAATTTTTATAAGGTATTCAATTTATAATACTGATTTTTTAAAAACAGTTTTCTGTTTTGTTGTGAATTTTTGCTTTTTCAATATGTATTAAATTCTCGCTATCATTTTATGAATGAAATTTTTTAAAGGTAAAAAAGAAAGAAAGAAAGAGGTATAATAAGTTGAGATAAGACGGTACAGATTTTGTGCCATTTTGTCATTAATATTGTAATGTTTTTTATTTAAATTTTGGTAAAAAAATTTAAATAGAAAGTAAATTTGGAGTGAAATTTTTTTTTCATAACAAGTATTTACTTTTTTGCCAAAATAATAAGTATTTATTTATTTATTTAAATAAATTGGATGTAGGAATATTATTTAAACGAAAGTATAAAATTCAAAAAATATTTTCCTAATTTAATAGACATTTTGATGGGAGTGAATTGGACCGCTTTATGCCTAAAAATAGGAAGGGATTATGTTGCTATAGTTTATTTATAAAGATGTGAAATTATAATTGACCTAACTACGTAACGAAAATTAAAAAAACTCATAAAATCTCAAATACAAGCCTTCGAAAATTTAATGGCAAATTGGAAATTTATTCACATCTATTTTTTAATAATATAAAAATATGACTTTTGACTATTTTATGTTTTTTTGTAGCTGTATTTGAATATTTAAAATCTTGTGATTATTAATATTTGAAAAAATAATACAATAAAAAAATAGCAAGGAAAGTGACAAAAAGTTGGGGAAAAAAGAAGAAAATATTAGGAAAGTATGATAGATAAGTGACAGGATCAATGCCATTATTTTAGGAAAAATAAAAAAATTCCAAACTTGGGAACCATCAAATACTTCCTCTAGTACTAAATATAAAATTTAGTCTTGCATTATGGGTTCAATCTTATATTTAGGATAGGAGGAGTTAGTATTATAAAGAGATAATAGATGTTTTCAAAATACTAAGTTTTGTTTATCCAATAGAAATAAACTTATTTTCACAAAAAAAATTCTCCTCATTTTTTGTTCTAGTTATTGAGTGGGCATATCTCAAAAGAAAGTACCACATTAGTGTGTATAAATATATTAATTTGTTGGCAAAAAAAGAATAAATATATTAATTTGTGATTTTAAATTAATGAAGGAGTCAAGAGGAAAAATTTTCTCAAGCGCACATAAGGTAAAAGCAGTAAAATTTGGCACAATATATAAGGGGCTGGTTTAATTCATGGAGGCAGACCATATTTTCTATGTGCTGACAACAAATTTCCCCTTCTAAGGCAAGAACTGAGGGGAAACAAGTTAATATGAACGGTCTGTTTGGAACTAAATAAACCAGGTAAAAAAGTGAAGCATTCATAAGGCAAATTTTATTATGTTTGGTATCTACCACCACAAACAAATAAACAAACAAATAAACAATACATAGCATAAATCAGCAGCTATGTTTCTCACAAGTAAATAGTTAACTTCTTGTTGTTTAAGAGTCAAACTCAGGTATCTTGATTGGATACAAATGGATCATATCAGACCAAGCATTTTTTTGAGTTGGGTCAATATCAAATATGCATTTCCACACTGCACTGTTACATTTGAAGCCACTTCCAAATGCAATTTGCCAAACCCTATCTCCTTTCTTCACCTTTCCTTTTGCCTCCAAATAACACAGTTCATACCAAAGTGAAGAAGATGAAGTGTTACCAAATCTGTACAATGTCATTCTTGAAGCCTCCACATCTTCCTTCTTCAGCTTCAAACTCTCCTCTATTGCATCTATCACCCCCTTGCCCCCTGCATGTATGCAAAAGTGCCCAAATGACTTCTTGAAATTTGGCACATATGCTGCCTTCTGGTTGTCATCTCCCCATTGGATTCTCCGACGAATCACTGACCACGCGAATTGAATCTGCTCGGAGTAAGGCAACACAAGAGGGCCTAAAGTTGTGATGTTTGTCCTCAAAGCTAGCGCAGCCATTCTTAGAAGTGCCCTTGATAAGGACACTCCCACATGTCCAGCTTCATCAGGCTCTTGGTAAACACACTTATAGGCATTATCATTTGATCCTAAATGAGTCCTCACAAGGTGCTTTAACTCATATTTGGCCATTTTCTTGTCTTCTTTCTTGTTAGATAGTAAAATGACAGCTCCTCCCATTCTGAACAACACATTGGGAATAAGCTTGGATTTGGTAGTACCTCTATAACCATTTGGAGCTACGACTTCCATACTTAGAACTAAAGCTAAAGAATTTTTATGGACTTTAAGAAGATCTTTAGCTAAGCTTATTGATAACATACCAGCACTGCATCCCATACCACTGAGGCTCACACTCTTTATATTGCTTCTGAAACCAAACTTGTTGATGATCATGGAAGTTATGGAAGGTGTGGGACAGAACAGGCTACAGTTTGATACTAGGATGTCTATGTTCTTAGGATGGACTTTGTGTTTGTTAAGAAGGTCTTGGACTATAGTGAAGAGGACTAGTTCAATCTCTTCTTGAGAATTCTTGAGTGATTCATTAGGTGGGATCTCATGAACTGAATCAGGCATGCAAGCTTCAGGTCCAATCCCAGATCTTTCAAACACTTTGGACTCAAAATCAATGGCTTCTCTGGTGATACCACAGATCTCAGAGTGTTCTATGAAGTTGGAGGGAGGAACTCGTAGGTTGTTTGGTGGCAGAAAACAGGCAAAGTCAACAAGGTAGACATTTCTTGACCTTAACTTCAGAAAAAATAGTACTATGATGAGAATAAACATGGCTGCTAAGGTTTGTGTCGGAGTTACTAAACCTTGAAGTAGTACTGCAGACAAGCTTGAAGAAAGAGATGAAAATTCAGAAAGAAGAGAATCCATTGTGAGATGAGGTACAGATAAATTGTTAGGACTTTGGTAGGGTTGTGATGATATAATAATGAAATGAAGGAAAGAAAGAGAGAAGTTTCAAAATGCAACTATGTGCTGTGTTTTGCGTGATAAAGTCTGGAGTTACAATTTGAGCATCTTTCTTCCATCTAAATAGTAGTGTTGTATTGGGAAATGGCTTTTGTCACAAAATTCTCATGATATAACCATATTTACAACCTTCCCAAGAAAATAAATAAAATAATAAAAAGTAAAAATCAACAAGTTGTACTTATTATTTAGCAGTTGGAGTCAAAAGCATATATTGGTGAGAACATTTTTTGTTGCATAGTGACATCAATTGTAGCTCTAAGGTATTGGGCCAAATCCAAACTTTGAATTATTAGAGCTTTGAGTAAATATATGTTACTTCTCCGGTCCTTAATATAGGACTCAATTCATGAGTTGGTTTTGGTCCTAAATATAAGACCCATTTATCATATTTATCAATTTTCTCTAAATTACCCTTATAGATACTCTATCAACCATAATCAAGTAGAAGAGGGAGAGGGGTATTAAGAAAGATGATTATGGTATTTTAGGAAAAACGTTTCATTTTTCTTATAATTAACTAACTTATCTAACTTCCTTAATCTAATCAAATTAGTTAAATGAGTCTTATATTAAGGATCGGAGGAGTAATTTACTTTACATATGTCTTTTGTCTTATAACTATCTTTAACTTTTCTAAAAAGTCACGTATGAATTATCATTACTTTAGATTATGCCAGTTTGACTTTAAATCATGTCGTTTTATTTTACAGTTCTTTAATATTTTATTTTATAGTGAATTTTTCCTCAATCTTATACAATAAACCTAAAAGAGATGCATTAAATAATTATAATAATAAAAAAATTAAACCCCAGTTATGCAGTTAATTTATTTTAGCTACTACCAAGTTAACCACATCAATTTAGAAGAAGAAATGAAGGCACTTAATTGTTGTTTGTATTCCATACTTTGACTTTATACTTTTATTTTCTCTAAAATAAATTTAACAAAGAGAATATATATGTGTGTGTGTATATAAGTTGAAAGATTAAACTCCATATATTTATCAAAAAATCACAATGCAGCTGAGTTTGAAATAAACTATGCGGATTATAGATGTAAAATTTCTTATATAGGTAGACGTTGAATGTTTTAGCAATATGAAATATGCATGCAAGAAGCTAGAAATATATTCTATTTTCAAAAGCAATTTAAATTAAATTGTTACATTATCATAAAATATTAAAGAAACTATGATAACTCATAAAATGCACACATTATACTCCCTCAGTCTTTAAGATCTATTTAACTAATTTGATTAGATTAAAGAAGTAAGTTAAGTTAGTTAATTATTAAAAAAAAGATGTTTTTTTCAAAACATTATAATCATCTTCCTTAATATCATTTATCCTTCTCCTACTTGATTATAATTGAGAAATATCAATAAAAATAATTTAAAAAATTAATAAATATAAAAAATAGATTTTATATTTATGACTAAAATTAACTTAATAATTAAGTCTTCATTTAAAAATAGTAAGGGTATTAATTATTAAATATTTTTAGTTCCTTGCTTCCTTATCAGTAGTTACTGTATATTGCGTTCCGTTCTCCCTTTTTGATCAGTGAACTCCAAGCCCTCTGGTCAAAAAAAAAAAAAGAACTCCAAGCCGTCACCCTACTCTTCCGGTCTTCCCTGTCAATCCATCGTCTTCGTCTCTTCCCCAGCCTATGGGAACTCCATACCCGAACCCCATAAATCCGACCCAAACCCGAATCGGGTGGATAGGTATCGGCGTTATGGGTGCTGCTATGGCCTCTCGCCTTCTCTCCGCCGGCTACTCCGTCACTATCTACGCTCGCAACCCATCCAAGGCTCTGCCTCTGCAATCCCAAGGTGCCCATGTTGCGGATTCTCCGGCTGAAGTCGCTCGATCCTGTGACGTCGTATTCACCATGGTAGGTCACCCATCAGATGTTCGATCAGTCGTCCTAGAAGATCCTAACTCAGTTCTCTCGGGCCTAACCCCTAACTCCGTCACCGTTGACATGACTAGCAGCCACCCTGATCTCGCCAGAGAGATTTTCACCTCAGCGCGCGAGAGAAATTGTTGGTCTGTGGACGCACCAGTCTCTGGAGGCGACATTGGTGCGAGAGATGGGAAATTAGCTATATTTGCTGGTGGTGAACAAGCTGTGGTGAAGTGGTTAGAACCCTTATTTCAGATTCTAGGGAAGGCAACGTACGTGGGTCAAGCAGGGTGTGGACAGAGCTGCAAAATAGGGAATCAGATTACAATTGGGGCGAATCTGATTGGTTTGAGCGAAGGTTTGGTGTTTGCAGAACGAGCAGGGTTGAATGTGAAGCAGTTTGTGGAAGCAATCAGAGGTGGATCTGCTTGTACCAAGGCGTTGGAGTTATTTGGAGAGAGAATGATTGAGAAGGATTTTAGGCCTGGTGGGTTTGCTGAGTATATGGTGAAGGATTTGGGAATGGGGGTGGATATAGTAGAGAAGAGTGAGGATGATAAGGTTGTGGTGTTGCCTGAAGCTTCACTTTGCAAGCAACTGTACTCTAGTATGGTAGCTAATGGAGATGGAAAGCTTGGGGGTCAAGGTCTTATCACTGTCATTCAGAGAATCAATGGGCTATGAGTTTCTTATTCCCCATTACTTTGAACGGTGGATATCAGCATCTTGCAGGTTAAGTTATTCTAACTTGTATTGTTGTATTTTTGCAATAAGAACTTAACATTGTGTGGTCGGTTAAGAATTTCATATTAGGTCATACGTTTGGATGTGTCTTGCAAATTTGCTTGGCCTAAGCAGCTGGAGTATGAGCTCTTACACGAAAAGCATGAATCTTGTATCTTTGGCTTCCCATTCTTGTTTGAAAACTGCAAGAGGAGCGTCATCCAAGATTCATTTTATTGGACAAGTCTTGAGCCTTGAGAGGCGTTGAGGAAAATAGATGCATTTTGATCATCTGGTAAATATAGTAAATCGTTGTGGCTACAACAGTGCCTGAGGTTTCATTTAGCTTATGCTGGATCTATGACTCTGAACATGCCCAAAGTGTTTTATTGCAAGAACATTTTTATTTGGAGACAACCAGAGAGATCAAAATGGCAGCAGGGTATAAGCTTTACTGTAATAAAATGCCAACACCAAATGTAAAACGAAACAAGATGTTAAGAATATGAATATATGATGTGGTATCCTGCGAAATGGGAAGTGTGATTACATAACTTTTATGCTGAAGTTAGGTCGATAGATTTTTAGGCGTCCTGTTCCGTATTATACATGAGAACGAGAAGTACCTTAGATGGTAACTGAGACTGATGCATTCCTGAATGGAGTTTAACTTATTGCCGGGAGTGAATATATTTGGCTTAAAACCTTTTCAAAAAGAGTTGTATCATGCTCTAATACTTCTCCGGTCCTTAATATAATACTCCTCCGGTCCTTATTATAAGACCCAATTTGACTTTTTATTTGGTCCTAATTATAAGACCCCAATCCATTTTGTCTCTTATATTTATACATTTTTTTTCCAAGATAATCCTTCTAATAATGATAGTTTTAACCAATATACTTAATTAGCAAGGATATTTTAGGAATAACAACACTTATTTATTATAAATAACCATCTTAACTTACTTCCTTAATCTCCTCAAATAAGTCAATTCGGTCTTATAATTAGGATCGGAGGAGTACTTATTTAATTAATTTGATTAGATTAAAGAAGTTAGGTAAGTTAGTTAATTATAAGAAATATGACATGTTTTTCTTAAAACGACATAATTATCTTCCTTAATATCCCCTCTCTTCCTTTTACGTGACTATGATTAAGGGGGTATCCATAGGGGTAATTTAGAGAAAATTGATAAATATGATAAATAGATCTTATATTTAAGACTAAAATCAATTCAATAATTAGGTCCTGTATTAAGAACCGGACGAGTAATTATTATCAAATTACAAATTTTTAAGAGAGGGTATCAATTTATTCTAAAATAAATTGTTTGCAATAATAAAAAAAAAGAATCTGTGTTTCTGTATCTACTTCTCACTGAGACTGTTTGGGAATTGTGTGAACCTTGGGATCTTTAATCTCACAAGTAACCTTTAGGGCAGGGTTCTCCCTAAGATTGATAGTAATGGTATCAAAACATTTCACTGCTCAATTTTAAGGTATCTGATTTATTCTACGATTGCAAGCATGTGATTCTAATATAAGCTTATATGAACTTTGCGCTCTTCTGCATTATGAATTAGCTTTTTTTGGTATGGTTCTCATCCTAAGGTTCATATCAGGATGTGTATTAATGACCTTGTAATCTAATGGCATAAATATTTACATCTACAGTGGGAGGTTGTAGGTTCACTTCTGTTTGTAACAATAAGCCGATAGTGTTTGTTCTCTAATTCAAAAACGTTAAAAGGGGTTTCAAGATGCGTTTTTGGAGTGGCTGTTTCAGCTGTCTCTGCCTCTATATTTATCTTTGCCATTTTTTTTCCTTTCACTCATCTCATGGCAATGTTCTTCCACAAGCTTTCCTGAGGAGGGCCTTGCAGGAAATGAGATCTGTTTGAGGGGAGGCTAACTTTTGGGCCATTAGTATGAAAAATTACTCCTCCGATCCTTAATATAAGACATATTTAGTTAATTTGATTAGATTAAGAAAGTTAGATAAGTCAGTTAACTCTAATAAATATGACATGTTTTTCTTAAAATACCTCAATTATCTTCATTATATCCTCTCTCCTTCTCATACTTGATTATGATTGAGGGAGTATCAATAGGAATGATTTGGAAAAAAATTGATAAATATAATAAATGAGTCTTATATTTAGGACTAAAATCAATTTCACAACTAGGTTTTATATTAAGGACCGGATTAGTATTATGCAATGTACAATGAATCTTTGTGTTTGTTTCCCTGAATAACTGATTAAGTGAATAATTGCGTAATTAAATGGCTAACTAAAACAATCACAAATATGCAAAATGTACGAAACGTGTGTGACTCATGCGAAATATATAAAACATGATCTCATGCGCTCTGTTTCAAAGAGAAGGGACCGTACAATTAACATGTGTTTAAAAACTAAAACACTAAAACAACTTTTGTATGTTTTATTGTTTTTGCTTTTGTTTTTTTCTAATTTTTTGTTTTAAAAAATTTTGAGACATCTTCTTCTCTTCTCACCTACCATCTACTGTTTACTAGTGCCAGCGACCACTATCATTTACTAAATATGATTTTTTATATATATTTTTTTCAAACATGATTTTTTTAAAATTATTATCCAAACAAATTCTTTTGTTTTTTGTTTTCAAAAATAGTTCTAAAAAACAATTTTATAAAATTGTTTTGAAAACAAGAAAACAAAGAACATAAACAAACAGGCCCTAAACCTAGAGTTCTGTCATTTATTTTTAGAAACAAAAACGTTTTTCTAGACTTTTCAAGAACTAATAAATGCTTATGGGGGAAAAAATCATATAAGTGGCGGAATAATATTGGAGCAATGAACATAATGAACATGATAAATTTAACCTGTGTTTTGTCCTAATTAAAATTAGTGGAGAGTTATGAATTGCATAAAATTTTTTAAAAATGAATAAAAAAAACCAGTTCAAATAAGGACTTGAAGCGTTAGAGAAAGCGTTTGACGTTAATTAATTTATAAGATTAGATCTCTTACGAACTTCATCTGGCATTTCTAAATGGACCAACATCCGCTCTTCTTCTTTGTTCCGAGCCTATTTGAAAGGAAAGAACATTCAGTGCTTCTTAATGGCAAACATTGAAATATTCTTTCGGTCCTAAATATAATACCTCTTTTGTAGTATAAATTACACTACAAAAAGAGTTTTATATTTTTATACTACAAAAATGGTCTTATATTTATATTTAGGACCGGAGGAGTAAGACAAAGCATCTCATGGATATTTGGTGGAGCAATTATTCATTGACTATTTTCTCAAATCTCACTTCTTTTCTTTGATCAATTTATCATAATACCAGTGCCCTTGGCCGGGTTTTATCTTTCTCTGGGATTATGCATCATTCCATTCATTCTTCTCTTCTTTCAAACGGATCTAAATTCTCTCATTTTCCTTTTTCTCAAAATTTCATATTCACCTTTAGATAAAAAAATGAATATCATATCTAGCCAGAATCTTATGTTTTTTCTGTTGTTAATTTAATCTATATATATATATATATATATATATATTCACACACAAAATATGGGTATAGCTTCAGATAAGATGGTCAGCCATTAATGCAAGAAAATTTTGAACAGACCACTTTAACAACTCTTTTTTTGTTGCCTTTCAAAGAATGGTAAACCGGTGTTTTGGCTTATTCATGTGTTATTAGTAACTAGTTAGAACATCATTGTCATCTTTCTCTATAAATATCACAACCTCGTCTTCTTAAGATCATCCAAGCGAATGCCTTCCTCTTCTTCAGGTATATCACTTGTGTCTCTCTCCTCCCTTCCCTGCTATTCCAAAACTCACCATCTTTTTCTTACCTTTTTTTCCTCCAACATAACAGGTACTTATCATAGCTAAGAATATTGATCACAAAAAAACAAAAAAAAGTAAAGGTGTAGCATATAATTTAAAGGGTAGAAATATGTTCAAGTTTTATTTTCTTTTATGCTATTTATTGTTTTTTCTCACTTTATTAAACAATACACATCTCACTGAAAACTCAGATCTGTATCTTTATACATGTAAATATAGCATCATGTTACTGAAATAGATGAAGAAGTAATTAGAGAAGCTAGTTTGAATGGATGTGTTTATATGAACTTTTTTCATTGAGGTGCTTCTTGTTTCAGCAAGATAGAACAGAAGAAAAGCAATTCATAATGGAGATGGACTTGACACCCAAAAAGCCACAGCTCATGTTTGAAGGAGATGGTGGAGCTTACTTCACATGGTCAGCTTCTCAGCTGCCTCTTCTGGCTAGCAACAACGTTGGTGCTGGTCGGCTCCTTCTTCAACCTCAAGGCTTTGCTCTTCCTCACCATGCAGATTCTGCTAAAATTGGCTGTGTTCTTCAAGGTGTATATAGCTCATAATCTTTTCTAGCCATATATTGTTTTTCATTACTAAATATCTGTAATCTGACTGTATAGTCTCCGCAGGAACGGATGGAATAGTTGGGATGGTTCTCCCAGATGCAGAAAAAGAGGTCGTTTTGAAGCTGAAGAAAGGAGATGTAATCCCACTTCCTCTGGGGTCAATCTCATGGTGGTTCAACAATGGAGATTCTGACCTGGTCGTGGTGTTTCTGGGGGAAACATCTCATGCTTATGTTCCTGGCCAGTTCACATACTTCTTTCTAAGTGGATCTCAAGGAATTATGGGAGGCTTTTCCTCTGAGGTCATAACCAAAGCTTACAATTTGAACAACAAGGAAGCAAACAAACTCACCAAGAGCCAGCAAGAAGCTTTGATTTTTAAGCTTAAAAATGGCCAACACAAAATGCCAGAACCCCACATGGATAAGACCAAACAGATGGTGTACAACGTTGATTCTGCAGAACCAGACCATGGTGGGGTCAAAAATGGAGGGTTGGTCAAAACTTTGACTGACCTAGATTTCCCTTTTGTTGCAGAAGTTGGGATGAGTGTGATGAGAGTGAAGCTTGAACCTAATGCTATGAAGGCACCAGCCTATCTAACCAACCCAGCAATTCAATTGATTTATGTTGTTAGAGGAAGTGGGAAGATTGAGATTGTGGGGTTCAATGGCAAGCTTGTGTTGGATTCTAAAGTTGAAGCCGGCCATTTGCTTCTTGTTCCTAAGTTCTTTGTGGCTGCACAGATTGCTGGTGAAGATGGAATGGAGTTCTACTCTATCCTCACCACAAAAAGGTGAATTTTGAAACGTAAATAAATATACTATGTGTGTAATTTTGACACAACATCTTAGCCCAAAACTCTTAAGCGTTAAAAAATTTACTTGCAGGCCTGTGTTTAAAGAGCTAGCTGGGAAGTCATCAATATGGGAGGCCATATCTCCACAAGTGCAACAAGTGGCTCTTAACGTGGATCCAAATTTTGAGAAGCTTTTCTTGCTCAACATCAACAACTCCACAAATATCATTCCTCCCACCAACTCAGAATAATTGTCTGGTTCAGTAAGAACACACACAAACGCAATTTACAATTTTGCTTCTTTGAATAATTACAGGCCACA